ATAACGGCATACCGGTTTCCCGCCTAGCAGATCCCGTAGGCCATCGTTTTGAGAAAAAGCGCCAAAACTGGTTTTCGAATTGTAAAAAAAATATTAAGTCTCTCTTACGAATTAATTTCCATCGTTTCGGGATCGAATTGATATTCGTTCTAAAAGTTTTTTAAATTTACAAAGTTTTATTACATTCCTATTTTCGCTTATTGTCGCAAAGTTGCAACAAAGTTTGTCTCGAGTATAACGAGATCTTCCTTTTGCCTAGATATAATTTATATTTTCCCTATTAAAAAAAATATAATATTAAAAAAAAGCATATTTCTCTATTTCCACTAAATACAATTTTTGGATTCTTAGAAATGTGCAAATCGAGGAATTTAATTTCTTTCGAGGATAATCGTCGGCTAACGTTCGCCATTCTACAATGCCTCGGAAGGAAATCACCAGATAAACAAAGGATTGTAGCGCATCGCTAATTATACCGCGCGCGTTATTTACTCTAATTATGCCAGTTGTTCCGCGCGACTCGCGCGATATCACCAATTGGTGAAACACGCAGACGTGAGAACACGCGCGCAATTCCAGAATAAGGAAGAAAAAAGAAAAAGAAAAAATAGATATAACGTCACGGGATTGACTTACGTGCGCCGATGAGCAAGGAATCCTCCCGGCATTAACGTCACGGTCATTTCTAATGCACAGAATGTCGATACCACGTAACTCTGTTTCAGGGTCTAATCATGCAAATATATGAGCCGTTAATTAAAACCGGTGTAAAGTGTATCTCGCCGTGAGACAGAAGCAGGGCAAGGAGGGGAAGGGGGAGAGAAGATCGACGGGTTTTTGCATTCCGATCGTCGCCGGTAAATAAGACGGGCGGATTTTTGTCGGTTTTTCGAGCGAACGCCTTCTCGCTTCGAGGGTATCTGTCGATACGGCGATTTTAAATAGCGAACGAGGCCGTCACGCGATTCAAGAGTTTTGAAACGGGAGAGGTTGAAAGAGTGGTTAACGAGGCCATACGACATTGCGCGTATTTATTTACGAGTGCGTAATATTATGTCTTTTATTATGCTCGTTATGCACTGTTATTTATCACCTTTTTTTTCTATACGTTATGACTTTTATCTTAGGAAAAAACTTATTCGTTTAAATTTGAAAAATAGTTGCATTGTTTGTTGACGATAAGTTATTTATATTAGCGGAAAATTAGCGGTTCTCATTCTTCTCAGAGAAAGCTTCAATGTTAATTATTTTGTCTATGTACTAGTTCTTAAACTCTAGCTAATCGAAAAATCTAAATTGCGATAACATAATTATATTTTAAATTACGTTCAATTTTTGCATTCAAATTATACCAATAAAAAGTATATATGATTTAAGAAATTAAAAAAGATACAAAGCTATTATAAAAGTAATATTACACTCTTAAGTATGTATCGTGGTTTGAGATACTAATTTCTAAATGGAAATGACACATTTCAAATTACATAAAAGATATTTTCCCGGCACATTAGCACAAAGTACAGAAAATACAAGATAATGATTGTATGAGGGTACGATTGCACTTGCATTAGTTTGATAACTCACATTTAAAAAACACCTAGGTTATATATATATATATATATCTGTATCTCTAGTATCTTCTTCACGGTATATATATTTTTTTATTATTATTGTTTGTTATACACAACACGTGTTCCTGCATATAATCTATCTGTCTATTGTCTTATTCACGCAGAATATCACTATGAATAAAATCATCTTACGAATGAATTCTTCATTATAAATATTTCTAGTATATTTGTACAGCATAACGTATCCTTTCAAAATGAAAACTACAGCTTTCTTTTCATTTTTTATAGTACGTACGTCTCTCGTACATAGACTTTTTATAACATGTATCTCCAATTTTTGGTGATGCATTTGCATAAGATATATATTTAATTTTATTTTTCTTATACTTTTATTGTTGCGTTTTATCCGTATTGAAATTTTACTTCTCTTAATTTTCTTAAAATATTTATTTAAACTGCGGAAGATTGTGATAGATTTAATTTATATAGGCACACTGAGTTTCTACTTTGTGTTTGAAATAAAAGAAAAATCATTCCAAATGCAGAAATTGAGAAATTAAATAATACTAGAGTCGATCTGATTGAAGATCAAAATATTAAAATAAGTATAAAAATCTTAATCGAGATCAAAAAATTTCGGTAGGTAGCAATCTCGAATTAAACTTTAGAGAATACAACTTTTGTTTGTCGCGACTTTTTCAAATATTAAATTCTTTAATTGATAAACTATGTGTCTATTCGTGGAAAGAGGCAATAGAACGATAAAATACAGATCTCTTTTCACATTGATATCTTTTTACTGCCGAAAATCGGACTATCGGATATCGAAATTGCACCGCGGACTCGCATTACCGCGATCACGCGATAATTACATATTAAATTTAATTATTCTTTGTTCTGGACATACAACAATACGACTGCACCGCCGTAGTCACCGACTTAATTATTCATCCGTCTCATTGAACGAATTATCGAATTAATCGCGAGCATAAATTAAAGATCCTATCATCAGCGCGCTCGTGCATGCATGTGCCATTCTTACTCGCGAATAATATAGCGCCGCAATAATTATAAGCGATATATACGGCAGATATTAATGTTGCCTCGCGATAATTGCGACTTGTTCGGATCGCACGCTCGCGCTACGCGGTGGCGCGCGCGCGCGCGCGCGCGCGAAAAACACGTGTTAAACGCAACACTGTAACATTTAATTACAGAAAATCATCGGCGAATCGTTTCGCGCCGTTAAATATTCCATGTATCCGATTATGAAAATGCGATAACTCGCGAGTTAATAATAAATGAGTACACGAGTGCCGGTTGCACGTGGAAAAGGCTCGCGCCGACTCCTACGTGAATGGCTCATCATTGACTCTACCGTACGGCGGTAAGCTCCTCGAGTTGTATAACACACTGTCGGACACGCCATTTCAAATTTCAAGCATTAATTTACACCTACGATCACGAAATCGTCGTCGATGCGACGTATCGATCAAGTAAGAATTGAGCTTTCTCTCCCTTCTCCCCTTCCTCTCTCTTTGCCGCTTGATAATGGAGCGATGTAACGGGGGTTTCTTTGAGTGAAAGCAAGAATCTGATGGCTGACAATTGCAAATCGTTAATTCATTATTCCAGAAAATTGGAAACTACGGCAGATAATTAGGAGAAATTTGTCCGATATTATTATTATTATTTTTCCGACCTAACTCGTCATGGCAATTTGCACCGTAAATTAATATTATCGTTCTCTAATCGCGATTTAACACGACGTTAGCATCTGCCGTGTACCGACGAAGATTTTGCCAAATTAAATGATGAGTATTTTAACGAGACGAGCAGTGTTACGATGACATACGCATATGTGCACCGCTGGAAATTATCAAAGTTCCCTTAGACGTGTTTTGACACTTCAACGACTGTTTTTCAAAGTAAAATGATTCACGATCGATCTCATCGTCGCGATCGCACATTTCTACAAGCATATTAACAGGTTTCGCATTCGCTCAGCTTCACCCTGCCTCACCCTCCCTCTCCCTCGTCTCGTTCTTGACTATCTATCCTTGATTTACGGTCAATATTACCTCGGAAAATACGAAGACGATACGCGTCTTCGGTAATGGACAATGTTTCAAGGTTTATTTACCACAAGCGCACTTCATTAACCGTAAATTGTTCGAAGAGCATCCGCGGATCCCCGAGACTGACCATCTCTTTTTTCTTTCTTCCTTTCTTTTTTGCGCGTAGATTGAACGCGATCTTTTATGATTCGCGCTGCGCGATGCGCGTCGCCTGTAAATCACGCGGACTTTATGGCCGGCTTATCACGCGACAAAAAGATTTTATTCATCTGCGATGATTAGACACGCGTAAGACGGCTTCCCGGTAATTTCAATGTCAACAGCATTGTAATAACGTCGCGTCACAAAATGAGTCTGTTCCGTGTATCTACGAGTTCGCATCGAAATATTCAAGACTATCTGTATTTCATAGTAGCGTAATAACTCGGCGTCATTTGTGCGTAATCATTTTTGCGTCAAATATACGTTTAAGCTAACCGCGTTTGGAGTTGCTACTTCTGGTTAGATTTGCCGTTAGATTTTTCCCGCTCAATCTGACAGATATCCACTATTATTTAACACATAATGGTAAACGTGTCGCGCGTCATTATTAAAACTGCGTTATCTCGATACTGCGATTATCTCGTACAAATAAATGTTAAATTCCAAGATTTCAGGAAAGTGATTTGAAAGCAGAAATGTCGCACAAGGTTAAATTTTTTTATAACGAACCGCTTTATTCTTTTTGAACGAGAATTGGAGGAGCGCGAACGAAACGTAATCGATTTTGATTCATTCAATTGCTATTTGTCAACTAAAATTTGAGGAGGCATTTAAAAAAAAATTGTAGTTCACATTTATAAATTTATGTATAATATATTTAATTATTTACAAATATATAAATAATTATATATCAGCGTATCACGTTATATATATTTAATGCATCTATCCTTTGATTTAATGATGCAATATGGACACGGTAAAATAATGAATACGAGAGGATAATTATTTGGCCATCTAATTATGCGATGTATGCGAAACGAAGTGACACGTTAAACTAATTACCGAGCGATCGGATTTTTTAAACGTTTAAATAGTAACGAATTGTAACGATGAGCTGTAGCGATGCAAATCATTGTTAATTGATGGAGAAAAATTATCATTAAAAAAAAAAAAAAACAACGCTCTCAATCGAACAGAGAATTACCTGTGATCTAGACAATTGTTTCTAGACAATTCATCGCACGCATGTATGTGAGTTTCGAATAAAGATCAGTGGGGAACAAAAAATATTTCCAAAACCATATTTAAAGTCTGGGATGAAAACAATTAGCTGAAAGCCAGCGAGTCGAAAGACAGATCGAGTACTCACTCTGCGTGGGATCGGCGGGCTCGTCCTGTATATTGACCGGCGAAATTTTCAGTGATCTCGGAGGGCCCTGGAAGCCGATGGGCCCGGGCCCTCCGGCTGCGCCCACCCGCTGCATCACACCGGCAGCCCCTATTTCCGCAGCTCTGCCACTCCTGCGCACCTCGCGCGACGGTTTTCGAGCAATCTTGAAGCCTTCGTCGACGCCGACCACCGGTACTCCTCAAACTCGCGAAATTCCGACCCGGTCCTCGGTTACTTTTGCAACGCTACCGAGCTCACCGCGAATCGAATTGCCTCCGACAGAGAGAATCCCCTATAACAACGGCGAGACCTTCGGTTTTTCCCTGTTTCGAAGAGCCGAAATTCAATCTTTACGATCAAGAGTCGGAGAACGACTCTCGCATGTCATTGGAGAATTATTCGATAAACCGCTCGATTTCGATATATCTATATCAACTTATTGTCTCATTAATTAAAAATGGAGGATAAAAGTATTTAAAACGTTTGTTGACAGGCTTTGACAAATCTCAAAAATACAAAATTAGATTAGTTCCGATCTGTTGATATTCCAATATATTTGTTAGGCTGACCTTGTCGGTCTGGTGAATTTAAAACTGGCGTAATTTTTCATTTCGAGTTCGTTCCGAGTTTGATGCTTTCTTCGATATATCCACGTTTCGACGAGAGTTCTCTCAATTTATTCTCTTGTTCTTCACCGAATTTGCTCAAATTCCTCCTCAGGCTCTTCGTTGAGTCACCGCACTATTTGGCGAAACGACACGCACTTGTTATATCGCGAAATTTATCTTCCGAGTTCAGTGAAAGGTTTCTTGCGATTGTTGAATGTGAATGCGACCGTGGACACGATTGATGGTGTCGCAGAACTTCAACGATATTCCTGGTCACCGTGACCGGTTCTCGCTGGAACTGCTGCTTCCAAAATCGGCAACTGAGATCTTTTATCGGAATCACGACACGATTACGTTCTCATCACTCATAATCAGCGCGACATAATGACGAATATTCCGGTATTGAAGCCCAGGAGAAAATAAATCGAGCGACAACGAACAGCGGTAAGAATAAGCAAAAGGAACGATCATTGTAGCAGAAGCTGAACGTTCGAAGGAAGATAGCACGGAATAGAGGAAGAAAAAGGATGGCAAAACGGTAGGACGGGAGGGGGACGGAGAGAAAGGAATACGCGCCAGAAGAAAGATAGAGGGAAAGGGAAAGAGGGAGGCAGAAAAAGAAAGAGA